GATATTTTTTCTACCTATCAGCCTGCTACTTCCACACATAGTGTTACTCTTGCTAATGACACTTGTTCTCAAGTTTCAGGTTTGGGGACTACTAACTTGAATCTTGATATGTTCTTATCTTCCGCATTATTTGTTCCTCAGTTTCATTTTAGTTTACTCTCAATTAACAAGATTACCCATTCTTTCAATTATTTTGTAACTTTTTACCCCTTTTATTGTATTTTTCAGGATTTCAAGACGAAGAGGAAGATTGGTACGAGGCATGAAGCTGGTGGACTATATTACTTTGATTTTGATTCACCTACTCGGGCTTTACAAACCTCATTGTCTCCTTTTCAGTGGCATTGTCGTCTTGGACATCCCTTTCTTCAGAATCTGAAGCGCCAAGTTTCCAGTCTTAGTTGTGTGCCGTCTTTGTCTGGTGAAGCTTGTCAACTTAGTTAGCATCATCGTGTGTCATTTCAGTCTAGAGTCAATAATCGTGTGTCTAGTCCATTTGAGTTGGTACATTCTGATGTATGGGGTTCAATAAAGAATATTTCATCTAATAAATATTCTTATTTTGTGTTGTTTGTGGATGACTATTCTCGTGTGACTTGGTTGTTTCTGATGAAAGTTCGGTCTGAATTGTTCTCTATTTTTGAGACCTTTCGTAAAGAAATAAAAACTTAGTATGGTTGTCGTATTCGTATTTTATGTTTTGATAATGCTTGAAAATATGAGTCTGATCCTTTTTCAGCTTATCTTAGTAAAACTGACATTATTCATCAAACTTCCTGTGCTTACACATCTCCACAGAACAGTGTTGCTGAACGTAAAAATTGTCATTTGTTGGAAGTCATCCGTGTCCTGTTGTTTCAGATGAATATTCTTCGATATTTTTGGAGTGATGCTGTTTTTACTGCTTGTCACCTTATTAATCGTATGCCATCCTTTGTGTTAAATGGACAAAGTCCATATTCTGTCTTTTTTCCTGATAAGCCCTTATTTTTCATAGCTCCTAAGGTTTTTGGATGTGTTTGTTATGTTCACAATTTAGGTCCTGGGTTTGATAAACTTGACTCTTGAGTTATCAAATGTGTATTTCTTGGTTATTCCCGCACACAAAAGGGGTACCATTGCTACATTCCTTCTTTGTGACGATATTTTATTAGTGCCGATGTCACGTTTGAGGAATCTGTTCCATATTTTTCAGCACCTTCTCAACCTTTGGATCTGGACTTTGGGTCATCTCTTGTACACCATCTCTTCCCTCATCTTCATACATTCCGCTGCCCACTGTGTTACCATCTACTTTACCTTTTCGTGTCTACTCTCGCCGTCCTTGCCCATTGACTGGGTCCCTGTACCGTCTTCCTTGCTGCCTTCTGATCATGGTACATCAGGTAATTTAGACTCTTTACCTATTGCTCTTCGTAAAGGTTCTCGTTTGTGTGTTACTCATCATCCCATTTCTCATTTTATTTTATATGATGCCTTGTCTCCTGTCTTCTCCTGTTTTACTTCCCAATTATCTGCTATATTTGTTTCTAAGCATTTACAGGATGCATTATCTAATCCGGGTTAGATTAAAGCTATGGAGGAGGAGATAGATGATTTACATCATAATGAGACTTGAGATCTCATTCCTTTACCCCCTGGTAAACGAACTGTTGGCTGTCGTTGGGTGTACACTGTTAAATTTCATCCATATGATTCTGTGGAGTGTCTCAAAGTCTGACTTTTTGCAAAGGGCTTTACTCAGACTTATGGTGTTGATTATGAGGAGACTTTTTCTCCTGTTGCCAAAATTTTCTCTGTTTGTGTTTTGATTTTTTTGGCTGCTAATCTTGATTGACCCTTGTTTCAGTTAAACATCAAGAATGCCTTCCTACATGGTGACTTGGTTGAAGAGGTATAAATGGAGCAACCACCTGAGTTTACTGCTCAGAGGGAGTATGGTAAGAATATATGTCGGTTAAAGAAATCTTTGTATGGTTTGAAGTAGTCACCGAGAGCATGGTTTGGTAAGTTTTCAGTTGCAGTTTTAGAGTTTGGTCTTCTTCGATGTCAGACAGATCATTCTGTGTTTCATAGACAGATAGATGCTGGATATGTCCTATTGGTGGTCTATGTAGATGATATTGTGATTACTGAAAATGATTCTGAGGGGATTGCCAAGTTAAAAATATTCTTACAAGATTGATTTCATACCAAGGATTTGGGAAAACTCAGGTATTTCTTGGATATTGAGGTGGCTCGATCTAAACAGGGTATTTGTTTATCCCAGAGAAAATATGTACTTGACATGCTTGAGGAAGTAGGTTTGCTGGGTGGTAGGCCGATTGATGTTCCTATGGATCCGAATAAGAAATTATTGATGGATGATGGTGCATTGTTTGAGAATCCGAATCGGTATCGCAGATTGGTTGAAAAGCTTAACTATCTCACTATTACTCGATCGAATATTTTCTATTCAGTTAGTATAGTAAGTCAGTTCATGGGATGCCCTAGAGTACCACATTGGGGAGCAGTTACTCATATTCTGTGATATCTTAAACGAGCTCATGGACTTTGACTGTTATATCAAACTAATGGACATCTTAGAGTGAAGGGTTTCTTAGGTGCTGATTGGGCTAACTCTCCTTCTGATCGGAGATCAACCACTGGTTATTGTACTTTCTTAGGAGGTAATGTTGTCTCGTGGAAAAGTAAGAAACAACCCATGGTAGCAAGATCCAGTGCTGAAGCTGAATATAGGGCAATGACACATACGACGAGTGAGTTGATTTGACTACTACACTTTCTCCAGGAAATTGAGTTTCCAGTTCAACTTCTTTTACAGTTATTCTGTGATAACCAGGTAGCTATCCATATCGCTGTCAATCCTGTGTTTCACGAGAAAACCAAGCATATTGAGGTTAATTGTCATTTTATTCGGGACAAGATAGTAGCTGGGGAGATTACAACTCCATTTATGAAATCTGAAGATCAGCTTGCAGATATGTTTACCAAAAAAATTAAACCGTACACGTCTTACAGCTATTTGTTCTAAACTTGGATTATATGATATATATAGTCTTGTTTGAGGGGGTGTTAACTATAAATATAAGTGATGCGAGAGTTAGGTTAAATTTTTAACCTCTCTTTGTTTCTCTCAAAATATTGTCTTTAATATTATGTTAATTTTTTAAACTTAACGGTTATAATGTGGGACCTGCTCTTCATTGAGGAGGGGAACCTGAACGGCAGAGCTGATCCTACCATGAGCTCAGCTACCTACAACTGCACCCAAATCCCGAAAACACAAACACAAACAAACATGCACATGGCATGCTCACACACACACACACAATCACTCTAGCACAGAGTGCAACACTCAAACTTTTCCTTCCCCCCCCCCCCCCCCTCCAAAAAAAAAACAAAACTCAATTTTTGTCAACTTTTCACTTGTAAATAGTATAATTGATTTGTATTTACTGAATCACACAGAATAAAATATTTTTTCTTGCAAATATGATGACTTGCTTGTATTTATGGAACCACATACAATATTTTTCACTTAGTTTTGGGAAAATGCTGACTAAAGAGATGAGATCCCTGTGCAACAAAAAGTGCAAAATATATTATATATTTAATATGCTAGTTTGAGATGCCTAATTACTCATATGATTTAACATATTTGATAAATCACATTGTCAATGTTGTAAAATTGAATAAAAACAATATTCAATTTTGTAAGTTTATGTAACATAAGTCGTTTCTCTGTGTCTTTGGTGTACTCCCATCCCATCCTAGCCACAGCAGGTTCCCATAGTTATCAAAATCCTGTCTCCAACTACTCTCCCTTTCCTCCCCGTCTCCAAAGAATTAGACTGTTGAGATAAAGCATGAGCTGGTTGGATGGTACTCTTGGCCCCAGGAGCCCATGATCACGATCAGAAAAATCTTTCAGAGGGCTCCTGCCTTACGTGGACTATACTTCTCAGCACAATTTGTTATCAGTCGACCCATGAATACCATTGCCTTTGATTCCTCTCCAATGTGTAGATGATTAAAATATCCAATTCAGGAGTAATTAAAAGATCTCAGGTGGGAGAGGAGCCAGTTTCGACAATCTTTTTTTCTCTGTACACAGCACACCCCTATATATTCAACTACACGAGTTAGCACATTCAGTGAGAATAATAACTTAAAAAGAAAGGTTAGCCCTTTTCAAAAGCTGTAGCCCTTCAAGCTGATGCAGAGTTCCCATAAGAATGTGCTGAAAGAAAACTGCAACAACGATCAGAATGGAATATAGATTTCAATTTAATAATATTTGTAGAAATAAGCACATTGCATTGAATATAAAGGCAGCATTGATGGTTCAAGGCCATATATGTCATTGAACTCAGACGACTTTGTTTAATCAGACGTCAAATGTAGGAGTTAGGATCAATCTCAGGGTTTCTTCAAAAGGAAAAGGTTGCAAATTCTATCATAGTCTGATAATATTTGGATTTTTTTGCACTTTGTTAAGAATAATTTACTTTACAATTGCAGAGAGACCAATTGTGACATTTTTAAGGTACCATCTGACAGTATTTCTTTAAGTATTTTTGTTTTTTGCTTTCAACGTATTTTTGGATGGTGTTTGTTTTGAACTTTTTTCTTGTCTGGATTTGCTCTAATCCTCCATCCATGATTACGCGCATTTATAGTCATATACATAATATATATTTAAGTGTATTATTTATATAGAAAGTTGCATATAGATCCTTTTTGTTGCATAGTAATTAAACATCCTTTTGTACTTTTCAGACAATCTTATTTTGTAATTTTAAAAAGGCATTATAGAGAGTTTTCAAATGAGTTGATTGTCATCAACTTGGGATGATTGGGGATATATTAATCATGAGGTCTCATTTAAAATTTTCGTCTTAGGCCTTTGCTATTGCGTCATACTATCTTGATTGTAGGAGACCAATTGCAACATATTTTGGGTTTTCAATTGAGTTAATTGTCACCTCCACAGGATAAAGGGGAAAACAGCAGCAAGAAAAAGATGAGGTGGTAACATTACCTGCCAAGACCTTGATATCCTCCATTGGAGTCGGCCCTTAAACAGTGTAAGATAAACATACCTGCCTAGAAACAATTTCAAGCTAATATGAACTGCTGCTTACAGTGGCAGCAACATGAAGAAAAGGTTAAGAAGTGAACCAAGAGCGCCACCAGGCGCCATCTGCCAGAAATAGAAACACAGCTTTGTTAAAGTCTGCTTGGTGAAAGTTTAACTTGCAATTAAATAAAACTAGCTAGGTAGCTTCAAGCATCTTGATGTGACCACCACTGGTTAATTTCAGTGAGAAGTGGTAGTGATCAAATGAGGCTTATCTGAATGCCTATACCAAGGAGCACACTGGATTTTATTGATACAAAGGTAAGTCCAACTTGGGAGTTTTTGATAGGGGTGTTAATCGAGAGTTTGTCGAGTTTGAGTATATACAGATTTCACTTGATTGTGACTGCCGAAGTTCAAGCTTAGATTTTTGCTCTAGCTCGGGTCAGTAGAAACTTGCAGCTAGTGGTGCTTAAATCGAGCATATGAAACTCTCTCTTTTCACCAAAACAAGTGTTTACTAGAGAATGAGATAGCTTAAACCCTTATCCCTGTCATTGAAAGACGAACTATGAAATCTGAATCTGATTTGATATTAAATCTTACCTCCACGAGAAAGAGTATTCCTATTGCCATTGAAATGGAGGAATCGCCATGTCCAATTTGACAACAGACTGAATGGCCACAGAGAGAAAAACTCAGTCCAATTCCAATTCAGGGGGTCCCTAACCTCTTCCTCACGAAAAAATCCAGCATAATCGTCTTGCACTTCTTCGTCACCGGTACCCTGAAGCTCAAATCTGCAAACTGGACAAGTATTGTGGATGTGCAGCCATGGAAGAATACAATCAGAATGATAGAAATGTTTGCATGGCAGCTCTTTCACTTCACCCCCAATTTCAAACTCATCCTTACAAACAGGACAATGCGAATCGTTGGCCAAATGGGTAGCCGTGAGCACCGCCGTCGGCAGGGCTTCAATGGCCGAAGCCGGAGCCGGAGGTGGCCCATGTCGGTCATTCTGGGTTAGTTCTAGGATCAGCTCGTCAAGTCCGTTTTCACCGGAGGGTTCTCTAATTTCCCTTCTATTCACCGTCTCGGGAACTACGTTTTCCGTTGGGGAGATTGGCCTTGGAAGGCGATTAGCGCCGGTTAATCGGAGGACAATCCAATCCTGACGATCACGTCGGTTTTCATAATCGAAATAAGGGTTCTGTGGTCTACTTGATGGGTCGAGAATGAGAACTAAGGCATCTATCAACCTCGCAGCCAGAGACGGTTCTGCTCCGGCTACATCGGAGAAGAGCCTGGGCCTCGAAACATCAAGTTCGTATCGGAGATGGGTAAAACAACGGGGACAGAAAATCTCAGAAGGATTAGAGTAAGTGACTCTGATTGTTCTTTGACATTGATGACACCAGTAGTAATGGTGGGTTCTCATTCTCTGTACGCCATTGACGATAACACGATGTCGACGGATCAATGACATGGGTATTCAAAAGAATGGGATTCGAATGGGGGGGTTTGGTGATTGGAGGGGTGAGAGAGAGAGAATGGGGTTGGAGGTTTTTAAATGGATGGTTTGATTTGATTTGATTTGATGAAGAGGATAGAGAGAGAAAAGGATGGTGTGCATTGAAATGGATGCATTACGTGCAGAGGTGTGGTTGTCTCTTTGGTGAAGAAACAGGAAACTGTTGCCTACGTTGGGAGCTTTCTCTTTCTTAATTCCATCTTCTATTCTCAGCAGCAAGGCAAAGGATGAGTGTAAACGACGATGACAGGTATTTGTGGTTTTTCAATTTTTAATTTTTATATTCAAATATTAAAATTCTCAATTTTTATTCGTAATGTTAGAAATTGATAATATTATGGACCTCACTCGGACTGTTGCTCAATTTTTCGTCTTAAATTGAAGTACGTCAAATACAAATATTCCGAACATGAGGTTTATGTATAAATAAACAGGTAATAGCCACCTCATGTGAATTGCACATGATAAGATTAATCAGTGTCCGAATAATGAAATCCTATTTTTAATACTTAAAACTGTGTCAAATTGATTATGACGAAAAATTGAACAACAGTATAAGTTAAGTCTATATTGTTATCAATTCATAACATGAGAGAGTGTAAATTGAGATTTTTAATATTTGAAAACATAAATTAAAAATTAAGACATCTCGTAAGATGCAAAGTAATATTAGCCCCCTAAAAAATGAAAATTTAAAAATCATATGATCCACATGGATATCTCAATAGAATAATGTTATTGGATTTAATTTAGTGACTTAATTTGTTGACTTAAATTTTTTTTTTTGATAAATAAAAAAAGGGTTAGAGACAAGGAAGATCGTTCAACGACCATTCCGATAGACCCTCACCGATGGAATAATAAGACCCTTGACCGCTCTTGAAATATTTCTCGGGACCAGACTTAGCTAGGCTAGTATAGCGGCCAACCACCAAGCTCCAATGGAGACTCCAAGACTTGAACTCCCGACCTCAAGGTGAGGAGTAAGACCGGTATTCCACTAGACGACCCTACTTGGTGGTAGTTGTTAACCTAATTCATTATGACATTTGACTTTGACTATAAATTCTATCAAATATTGGAACTTGGTGTTTATCTAATAGTTTCAATGAAATCACGTCATTAAATCAACAAATTATATCAAATTTTTTGATACTTAAAACTTTGGCGATTAGCAATTATACTCTTTTTTTTTAATTCTATCTGTTATTTTTTGAATTTTTTCTTTTGATAGAAAAAAAATGACTTTGTATTAATAAAAAATAAAAAAGTACATCAAAAAATTAGATAAGGAATTAAACTAAAATAATTAAAAAAAACATAAAAAGGAGAAAAGATTTAAAAACCTATAAATCACACAAAACTCTCGAATACATTAGAGACAGAAAAATAAGTGTGATCTTATAACTCAAAATGTAACAAAATAAGTGTGATCTTATAACTCAAAATGTAACAAGAATAACTTTTATCAAACTTCCCAAAACCTTTTCAATCTTGGATAAATAAGGAAACAAATAAAATGAGAATCACCCAACTTATGTCTATCGAACCAAACAACTTATTATACAAGGATATAACAATAGAGCAACGGATAAATAAACAAGTTGTAATATTAGGGTAGTGTTTGTTAACCGGTGGTTTTTTTTTTTTTTTTAGCTTTTGTTTTTATTTTATGGTAATAAAAAAATAAAAAATATGTTTGGTGAATGTTTTCATTTTTTTTAATTGCTCTGTTTTGAAAACAAGGTTAAAATATGAAAACATCTAAAATGATGTTTTTGAAAACATCAAAAAAAAAAAAAAACAAACACGCGATTGATAAAGGGATTTAATGAGGTATTGACTTCGATCCTCCTTAGCAACAAAATATAATTTTTTTTTGCTTTGAGTATAAAAACTCATATCTCTCTCTCTCTCTTTCACTCCTCTCAATCATCTCTCTTTCTCTCTCGATGCCAAAGGCTGAAGACGAAGACAAGTCATCTCCATTGACGTCGCCCCTCTCAGTTCTCTCTGTCTCTTGATGCCAAAGACAAAGCCGAAGCCATCTCCATTGCCTCTCTCTCTTTCTCTCTCTCTGCCAAAGACGAAGACAAAGCAGAAAAAGGGTGAAAACATGTCATCGCCTCTATCAATCGTCTTCTCAAGCCCTAGATCTATGTCTATTGTTTGTATATATAGATGAGTGGTGGATTTTGGGGGTTTGGGGGTGGTGGATTTCAATGGTGGGGGTGGTGGTTTGGGGGTGGGTTTTCAGGGATGGGGTTGGGTGGTGGTTTTCGGTGGTGGTCAGTGGGATGGTTTTCAATGGTCAGTGGGGTTGTTGTGGTTGTGGTTTTCAGAGGTGGGCGTGGGTTGTTGGTTTTGGTGGTGAGGTTGGGGGTGGGTTTCGGTGGTAGGGTTGGGTGGTTAGTGGGGTTGGATGGTGGTTTTAGGTAGTTAGTGGGGTTGAGTGGTGGAGTTTGGGTGATGAATTTTTGGTATAATACCAAACAGATTTTTTTATTTTTATTTTCATAATTTGTTTAAATATAAATGACTATCAAATATGTTTTAAAATTTTAATTTTTATCACAAAAAATATAAAACTTAGTTCTGCTTTTTTTTATAAAAAAAAAAACATAATAACGAAAATATTATCAAACACACCCCAGATATATGGTTAATACTTTTCAAAGTACTTTTATATATCACATGTACGAGACCTTCTTTTATGAAGCAAATCATTGATGCTAATCTTAGTATGTGTCACAGTCGATGCAAACACTAGCAATTTAATTGACATCTTAGCCCTCCTTATCACTGAAGTAGGGGCAAAAATAAGGCACGAAGAATCATCCACCAAAAGAGTCAAACATAATTTACTAGAAAAGATAGACTTAAAAACTTATCCATCTTCGGATTTAATCGATATACGTAATTACAATTATCAAAAATTTATTCTACGGAATCGTTTGATTCACCAGATTGGGAATGATACTATTGGATTCGATAAAATAAGTCAGGAGGGCCCATATTTCTCGTGTTTGGTAATTTTTTTCCCAACAAAATTATGAATTTGAACTTACAATTATCATTATAAAAAAAAGTTATGTACATAAGGTTATTGACATCCACCTTGATGCGGTATTAAACTGGGTGGACTGAAATAAGAATTAAAATTACTAATATGCCTTGCATCAAATTAAACTAAGGCACAACTTGGGCAAGCAACCCAAACCTATTCAAAATCCTGCCTAAAACAACAAAAATATTTGGATTGAAATTTTTAAAACTTGGATCTCATTTTGATGAGCCACACAAATAATAATTAGAGAAATTTGAAGGTCAGTCCCCTTATATGAACTTATTTGAGTTTAAGTCTGTTAAGAAAATTTATTTGTTATGAAATCCATTTTTTGTCAATTTTATCAGACTATCCATTCTCTTTAGAATTGAAGTAAAATTAAAAATTAAAAACTCTTAAAATTTAGGAGTTTGATTAATATTAAAAATTTGGATAAATTACACTCACATTCTTTAACATTTGACTTTATTACATGAACACCTCTCATATTTCAAAAATTACACTAAGACCTCAATAGTTAAATGGAGTTAACTCTCCTAATAATAAAAAGACAACTTTGCCCATTTGTTTAACCCAAACCCCAATCCTTCTTTGACTCTCTCTCTCGCTCCCACCAGTGATCCCATTCATCAGTCTTCTCTCTCTCTCAGCCCATCTGTGTGTGTGCATGTGTATATATATGTATACACACATAGGCAGATAGAGAAAGAGAGAGAGGAGGATGAGGAGGTGGCGGTGGTTTCCATGGTGTGGAGGCAACGATTGATGGTGAGTAATGGTGTTAATGATGCATTTAGGGGCCAAAATAACAGAAGATCACTAGGCCTTCCCCCATCACTACAACACCCTCCGATAGCCACCCCCATCCAAATTTGAGAAATCAAAAGAATTTGATGTGAAGATCTGAGAAATCAAAAGGATATGATACTTCAAAAATTTGCTTGGATAATTTTGGGGGGTTTTTGGAGTTCGATTTTACTAGTGGGTGTTGGGTTTGTGTGTGGTGTGTGGTTGAGGAGTTAGAAATAGAGGTGGAGTAGAAGAATGTGGTGGGGTTGCTCAACTGTGATGGTTGAGTGTGTGTTTTGTCATTGTGAAGGAGAAAATGAAGATGGTGGTGTTGGTGTAATATTCTTTGTCTATGTTCTCTCTCTCCCCCTCTCTCTCTCTCTCTGTGCTGGTGGTGTTTAGATGTGTTAGGTGGCAGATGCACTATTGTGGTGGTTAGGTTTAGGCAGTGGTGATGGTGCGCGAAACTAGTGGTGATGGTGGCAAGAGTAAAAATGTATGTAATTAGATAAATAATAAACAAAAATAAATTTAATATGAGATAATTGGATTAGGTAATTATTAAGGTTTTAAAAAAATGATTACTTTTTAAATTGTACTAATTGTACCAAATACTATTTAATAAACAAAAAAAAATTAATATTTTTTATTAATGTAATGTATTTAGAAATAAAACATATAAGTGTTAAATTTTAATATGTATATTTCATATATAAATTAAAAAAATAAATGAGAGGTTGGATAAATTTAGAGGGTATTTTTGGTATTTTGAGAATTATGATTGATGGCCTCAGTTTTGACTGTTAACAAGTTTAATGTCTGTTAGTTGAAAGGGTGTGACTGTTACAAGTTTTAAATGTCAAGGGAGTTCGGTGTTATTTTTAAAATATGAGAGGGTATTCGTGTAATAAAGCCAAATGTCAGGGAATGTGAGTGTAATTTACCCTAAAATTTTTTATCTCTCATATGTATCTATATCCATATATAGGTTAAGAATATAAAGGTTAAGGATAAGACTATATATATAAATCATGTAAACACAAAAAATCATTTAACATTCAAATACAAAAAAAAAATCATTTAAACACAAAAAATAATACCATTTAAACACACAAAAAATAATAACATTTAAATATAAAAAAATAATAACATTCAATATTAATATAT